ATTTGTCCCTGGCAGACTTACCCCAAAAGAATGACAAAACAATGTTCTCTAAGCAGAAATAAATAATAAAAGAAGAAATCTTGGAATATCAGGAAGCATAATGAGATACATATTTTAAAATATCGATAGGGGTGAAGCAAGAGAAAGCAAAAAGAAGGGCCACAGGATTTGTCCAATAGGTTGGGAATTATTAATATTTAGTATTATTTTTAAATGGGATAAATAAAACGGACATTGATGGTGTTAAAACAAAGGTTTTAACTACCAAAAGCTGAGTGGGCCCAAGTAACTACCTACTGGTCCCCCAAGCAGGTCTGCCCTGTTTACCCCAGTTCAGAAATTTTTTTAAAGTCAGAAGGCAGATATTTTATCAAGAAACCTTACCAGCAATCTCTTGGGGCAGCATTTGGGCCAGTTAATTAAAGTTTGACAAAAAGGCCAAGGTCCTTAGGCTTGAACCCTCACTGGGGGCCCAAAGCCTTTTACACAAGTGGGTAAAATGGGGTACTGGTGGCTGGTAGTATGTTCTCACACTAGACACATTGAGGTGTTAGAGAATTCTCAATTTGAAACTTGATTTATACATTTTTATGAAGGTATATTTGTTAAAGTAGAAAAAAATATTCATTACTTTGGCAACTTGATTTATGAATATTAGGCATTTAGACTGCTAATAAACAAAAGACAAACAAGTAAATATGAAGATCTAATGGATTTCACTAGTCGATTCATGAATCGAGGAGCATTCCAATTAAGCAACTAGACTAGAAGGACACTCTGAAACGTTTTACAAAATGCAAGGTAAGGGAGCTGTTAAAAATGAAAACAGAAGCTTATTTGGGGGCCAGGACATGTGTCTTTAGGGGGAAAGAACATGAAGGGTTTTTGTCATGCAGATTGCCTCTTCTTTCTATGGGAAATGGAGAGGGCTCGCAGGACAGATTACCTTATTGGTGTTTGGCCAGAACATTTCAGACTGGTTGGTTAAATTTACATTTCTGGGAGAGGTTGAAACTGCAATTAGGTCATGTATTAAAGCTAGGTGTGGTATCATGGGCTTTCAACCCAAGTGATGCCATTTTGGGTCTGTGGTTTTTTTTCTTTAACAAGATGTATGACCTGTGAGCCTTTATTAGTACTCTTGCACTGAGTACTGTAAATGTTAACGGCAAGACTATGGCCCATAGTAGGTGCTCAGTAAGATTTTGGCGAATAAATACTTGGCAACAGTGAACACAATGACTCAATATGAGGGCAAATGTCAGAGGAAATCAAATTGGCCAGAATTTCCCAGAGAAAAACTCTTCTGCTATACTTCCAATTCAATATAGTAAGTCAAACAGGATAAATTCAGTTATTTGGAAGAGAGTTGGGAAGCCATATACAATTTAGTTTATTTAGAAATTTAAATAAAGATATGAGAAATAGCAAATGTATCCTTCTCTTTGTTTTAAAAACAGAGGTGTAAAGATTTATATTTAGTTAACCATTTATTTTTGGACATTCCTACCAAAGGAACTTACCAGAAGTCCTGGCATAGAATTTCTTGGTTCAATCTGGCCTGAATCACTGACTCATTGTGTGTGACCTGGGACCAGTCACTTGTCCTCTCGGCACCTCAGAACATTTAGCTAGAAACAAGGGTGTAAAGCAAGCATGTGCTGAAAACAAGATGCCCCACCTAAGTTAGTTTTCCTGGGTAAATACATTATGGTAGAAAAAGAACATTCAACTGTTTGAAAGAAGTATTTTTAAATGGATTTTTAATTTTTCTTAAACATAGGACTTTCTATAATTTACATAGATTTGGTTAATACTCATACATCAGAAAATTCCTTCTAAAGTACATATTCATGGCTAGCACTTAGTAAGTACATTAAAAGGGTTTTCTTTAGGAATTAAGAAAAACTGACTTTTCAGTCTTCAAGAAGACTTGAATGTTTTTGTTGTTGTTTTTTAATTTTTGTGCATCAAACAACTCAAAAAGAGTCTGGAGACTTTGCTAGAAATGAATGATACAGATTTCACCTGGCCAGTATGGCTCAGTGGTTGACCATTGACCCATGCAATGGTCAACTGGTTCGATTCTCAGCCAGGGCACATGCCAGGTTTGGGGGCTCAATCCCCAATGGGAGGCATGCAGTAGGTAGTCGAAGGATGGTTCTCTCTCATCGATGTTTCTCTCTCTCTCTTCGTCTCCCTCCCTCTCTTTCTAAAATTAATGAAAGCATAAAAAAAATTACTTAAGAGTCTTAGAGTTTGAAAAGTAGAAATACCACTAGACAATACCCACAGTGTTCTGAAAAAGAAAGCAAAGCTAAGAGTTCTTAGAGTAAAAAGTGCATTCTTGAGAAGATTTGGTCCTGCCTTCTCAGCCTCTGGATTGGTCCAATGCGGTAATCCTCTGGAAGACAGGTGGTCTGGATAATCAATGTCAGATGGCCTGGACACATGAACATTCTTTCCTTAGTCCTTCAGTGGGTAATTAGAGGATTATCTCAAAATTTAATGAATGTTCAGGAATTGATCAGGACTGGAAAGTTAAAAATTTGATTTCTCAGGCTAGTTAAAACAAGAATAACATTGTTTCCTTACACCTCAAGTTACTTGATTTTAATAATTTAGCAGCTTGACTATATTGACTCCATCTTATTTCTTTACTCTCTTCCTCATGAGCATAATCTAGAAGTCTAGGAAGCCTGTCATGACAGGGGAAACTGAACAGCTCCATTGCAACCAAGAAGTGAGTTCTTAGGCACTTGTTTTTCAACCTAAGTGTTTCAACAACACCAGTAATGATGATTGACATTTATTGTACATTTATCAGAGGTATAGATGAATAATTTTATTTACTCCCCCATGATCTTCTAAGCAAAGATTTTACTACCATTCCTGTAACCATAGAACCAGCTCAAATTGGTTCTGTCCTGGCCCAGCCAGCATGGCTCAGTGGCTGAGCTTTGACCTATGAACCAGGAGGTCATGGTTAGATTCCCGTCAGGGCACATGCTGGGGTTGCAGGCTTGATCCCAGTGTGGGGTGTGTATGAGGCAGCTGTTCAATGATTCTCTCTCATCACTGATGTTTCTATCTCTCTCTCCCTCTCCCTTCTTCTCTGAAATCAATAAAAATATATATTTTAAAAAATGGTCCTGTCCTGTTTTATAATATACAGAGCTGCTTTTCAGAGACAACAAACAAAAACTGCAAGTCATGCAACGGAAGCACGCACAGAGGAGAGAACTTTGACTTCCATCTGTACCCAGAACCGAAGTCTCGCTCCTTCCCCACTCTGTGGAACCAAAGAACAGAGACACAACCAGACCTTGAATACCACAACCTTCTCTGAAGCAAAGGGCTCATTGTCCAGGAAGATCTTGTGTTGATACCCCTTTACCATAGATGGCTAAGCTCCAAGGTCCTCCAGTTAAAATTTGCCCTTCTAGTGCTTTCGCATACCTGTTTCCCTTATACTTAAAAAAAATCCACCCCAAACTCTGGATCTGAGAGTTTGGGCTTTTGAGCTTTAACTTCCAATTCTCCTGGTTGCACCATCTATATATATATAAAACCCTAAGCGACCGGTTGACCGCTCGACCATTTGAATGGCAGCTATGATGTGCACTGACCACCAGGGAGCAAACGCTCAATGCACAGTCATGAAAACATGGAACAGACTGATGAATCTCAGAGGAAAGCAGGGGAAAGGGAGGGCGGGAAGAGATTACCAAAGATCTTATATGCATACTAGAGGCCCGGTACACAGATTCATGCACTGGTGGGGTCCCTCGGCCTGGCCTGCAGGGATCGGGCCAAAACTGGCAGTCTGACATCCCCCTGAGGGGTCCCGGATTGCAAGAGGGTGCAGGCCAGACTGAGGGACCCAACTGGTGCACAAATCTGTGCACCGGGTCTCCAGTTCATAATAAAATAGCCAGCATTTCTCCATTGCAATTCTGGTTGTTTAGTATCCAGGTGGACAAACTCTTTCTGTCCTGTAACATTCTCACTTTAAATAGAGAATAACTGAAGCTTAGCGAGATTAAGCAATTTGCCCAAGACCACAGATATTAAATGTGGTGGTACCCCAAACAAGTAATTTGAGTCTAGAACCTTCAGTTTTATACCTGATGTTGCATCCTCTGTTCTAGAAATCATGGGATTAATAGGCCAGCAGATAACCTATTGATTGTATAAACTTTGTTTAAAACATACTGTCATTAAGTAGAGAAGTTCTTTAAAATTCATAATTGTATTTTGCAAAAACAACACCAAAAGGCATTGTTACCCTTTCATTATCAAAGTAGATTTAAGTACAGAAGTCTAATTTTAAACAACTGTGGATAAAAAGCCCAGGAAAGTAATTTCTTCATCTAGGGCAAAAGTTAAGCTTCAGAGTGCATAAGAATTACCGGAAGAAGCTTTCAAAATAGGTATTGCCCCATGACTTAACATTACAAATTCTGATAAAAGAGATCTGGGGTTTGGACAGGGAATCTATTTTTAAAAGCGGCCAGATGACTGAGCTGTAGGTTGCCCTTAATCCACATATTGAGAAACACAACTTTAAATCTCTTTTCACCTGTGATATTTGGAGTCACCTGACTTTTCAAAACAAACAATGAGACTACTGCCCAAATTGCTTAATTAGAAGTCCAACAAACTTGGTGTGAACAAATAACATGTGCTGTCTGGAAGAGGTGAGTCAGGAACAAAATCAAAATACTGTATGTCCTGGTTCCTGGTTTAAGCATAAAATAGAAATGGAACCATTACATATAATGTTCTCAGACCCACTCCAATCTGGACTGAACTCTGAAATTTAAAAGTGCTCAATTTAAAGTGCTAAGGGAAAGAGCATTCCTATAATTCAGAAAAATGTAATTCCTTCTAATAGCATCACAATTGCTTGCTTTGATCCTCAAGTTACCCTATCCATGGTAGGCAGGATGTGACTAAATGCAAGAAAGGAGTCACACTTTTGAATGGCATTTTTAGGACTGAGAATGGCAGTACCAGCCCTCAGGTGCCATTGAAATGGTAATTCTGCTAATTCGGCTTTGGAACTAAAGGATCTCTTGGATAAAGGTAGGAAGTCTCACTTTTCTAAATTGCATCAGGTTTTTCCTCCCTAGGATTTCATCCACTTGTATGTATTCAAAGGCAGGCTTCCTAACCTGGAATCTTGGAGTGGTTTGGATTTTCTTGTCCTCCTAAAATATAAACTCTATGCCCAAGGAAAGAGGGGAAAATAATCTTATATTCCCAGATTCCTATTTCCCTTGGATAGCTTTCTCCAAAATGCCTAAATTTCCTGTCATCTGAGATCACCCCCACCATTAATGTATTAAAAAAATTTTAGTGTGAATCCAGAAAAAAATAGATTTGCTTAGTTTTCTTCTCCCTTTGCCTTCTTTAAACCTTTAAGTATATGATGTGACTTCTAATTACTTAGGAAGATAGAGGGTTTCATAGTATTTCCCAAGACTGCACAATGCTTCTTTTGGGAAGGAAATTTTTAATCTGTCCAGGAATGGGTTTTGGGGAAAACAATCTGTGAACCCTCTGAAATTGTATGGAAATTTTTTAGTATATATTAACATTTCTGGAAACAAGGTTATATATATATATATATATATATATATATATATATATATATATAATCAACAAAGAATTCTTCTACTTAGAAAACTTTAACAACCACCCCCTCTAATAAGAAATAAACTAGTTTTCAGAAATTAAGAATATCTTTTTAAGGTTTTGAGAAGCTGGAAAGTTAGTTAAGCTTTTCAGGAAGCACATGAAATGCCACATAACCTCCAAGGAAGTTTATTTACTGCAAACTATGTAGTTACTTAATCTATTTCCACAGTCAAGACTATTAGCAGTTGCTTGTGGACAAAGACATATATTTCAAAATCTCCTTAGTTATTGCAATTGAGACTATTAAAATATCAAGGGACAATTGGATTACAGACTTGCACCCTGAGTAGCACTTTCTGCTTTTGTTGATTTGTCATGTAAAATATAAACCCTGCTTGACAAATTAAAGCATTTAAATACAGGATAATAGTTGTGTGTTTTTCTGTAACATGGGTCAGAAAAATGCAAAAGATAAACCTACCATTTAGGCTATGTAAAATAAATTCCCCTCCCCTCCATTAAAAACACTGATACATTTGGAGATAATTTTTAAAGTTCAAATAGTATAATAATATGAAAATAAAGCTCCCACATGTTTATTCAATAATTTAAGGTGAATTTCCTAAATATAAGATTTTCTTTAAAAAAAATAAAATAAATCATTCAGGCGGCCGTATTTGGGGATTTTGTTGTTAATTAAATCACAATTATTAATCTCAGGTACTTTTGAGTAGCCATCTTTTAGGGTTTAGACTAAGACGTAATATTTAAAGTTAGTTTCCTCATCCATGGAAAGATATGCTGAGAGATGAAGAGAGAATATCTGATAATGTTTGTATTTTTCTCCCTTTCCTTTCATTTTGCGTAATACTTAAACATAGCTTTAATAATATTCAGAGTCTACTTTGAAATGATCAACAATTGGATAAGTTACTATGCTATCTGATAGAGTAAGATCTTCAAAACCTATGATGAGAAATAAAATTATACTCTCTACCTAAATCAATGAAACAACAAGTAATTTGATCTCTTCCAATCTGTTCATTCTAATTTCTGGGTGTCTGATGTTTCAATATCTACTTTAGCCACATCTTCAAATCTAGTAATAAACATAGCCATGCCCTCTTCAAAATTTTGTCTGAATTAACCCTAGAGCCTCAGGAGTTCAGCCTTGGAATTAACACTAAAAGTCAAGTAATCCAGTCTCTAAGTGGCACTGGAAAGCCCTTTGCATCATTCAAACCAGAAGTTAGAGAATTTTTAAATTCAAGGTCAATTTCTTTCCATTTTTGCACAACTCAGCCTTTTACAAAATTCTACCTTTCTTGAAGCTAGAATATGTTGTGTTTTAATCCCCCCTAGTGTATAGTTTTAGGGTCACTGAAAACATGTGAACTCTCACATGTATATATAAGCCCTATGAAAGTTTTCCAATGTCTGTCAGGTTCTCCGTCCTATGTGTCATTCTATATAGTCATGCTTCATATGACGGGTTTACTACTGATACCCCTCTTCTCACTGTTAGATCTCAATATGCAACACTTTGCCTATGTTTTTTTAAAGGAAAACACCCAGGCTTGTACACTGCTACATTTGATATCCTATATAATAAAAGCCTAATATGCTAAGTGTCCGACCATTTGACCAGTCGCTATGACATGCACTTACCACCAGGGGGCAGATGCTTCAACTGGTAGGTTAGTTTGCTGCTGGGGTCTGGCCAATCAGGACTGGGCAAGATGGGCTGGACATGGCCTGGAGCCCTCCCATGGTCCCTTCCCTGGCTGGCCAACCTCCCGCATCCCTCCCTGGCCCCGATCATGCACTGGTGAGGTCCCTTGGCCTGGCGTGCACCCTCTCGCAATCCAGGATCCCTTGGGGGATGTCGGGGAGCCGGCTTCGGCCTGATTCCCGTAGGCCAGGCCGAGGGACCCCACCGGTGCACAAATCCATGCACCGGGCCTCTATGTTTAATATTACCCAATTTGTGGTCTGTAGACCCTTGGAGACTCCAAGACCCTTTCAGGGTATCCACAGATCAACACTATTTGTATAATAATATAAAAATTATTTTCATCTTATACTTTGTTGACATTTACACTTACAGAGTTATCGGGTGGAAGTGAGGTGTCTACCAGTGGAGGTGAGGGATCCCTTCCCCCGCTTGGTGCTGGGGGTCAGGTTCTTATATCTTGAAAAAAAGAATTTCCTAAGACTCGCACAGGAGAATGAGTGAATTTTATTTGTGTGGAGTTATATCACTTGGTTTTAAAAGTCCCATTTCCCTTAAACCGGTCCGGGGAAAACTGCAGCTAGGGCCTCAGCTGAGCTGAAAGCAAAGCCAGTGACCAAAGTGTCCATTCCATGGTGGAACTGAGTCCCGTATAACATCAAGTTAAAGTCCATTAGTCCATTGTGTGTGGGGCCCTCATAGCTATGGGCCATGTGAGTGAGCAGAGCATGAGAGCCCACAAGCCAAGATTCAGGAGTCAGGCCTCAGCAGCAGGAGAGCAAGCAAGAGAGAGAACCCCTTGGTTTAGGAGCTTAAATATCAAGTCTTCCCTTGCTCACAGTGACCACACTTACGTACCTACTCTGGCCCATGCCTTGTTCCCAAGTATGACTGACAGGCAAGCACCCTCTTTAGGTTATTTAGACTTTACTGGGCATGCCTCTAATATTCGGCCTTCCCTTCATTTCTTTCCAGTTAATGAATAACTGGGTTGATTACAGCAGTATCAATAATGCAAAAATAATGGCGAATAAGCTACAAGTACTTTAGCTTGAAACAGGACAGTGGCACCAAACTGAACCATCATAGCAGTCTTTGTATTTTTACCCCCATGTACTCACAGGGAAATAAGAAGTAAATTTCATTTTAAAAAGCCCTTGACAAAGCAGTAAAAAGTATTAATTTCATTAAATGTCAACTCTTGAGTATGTCTTTTTAATGTTCTCTGTGAAGAAATGGAAAGTACACAGCTTGCTGTGCACCAAACGACCTTGGTTGTCTGGAGGAAAAGCTTTCATGTGACTGAGCTGGCCACTTTTATCATGAAATATCATTTTTACTTGAAAGAACAACTAATGGACAAACTACTGTTATTTGGATTTAGATATTTGGAAGACATTTGATTTTCTTGAAAAATGTATGAAGTGAACTTGTCACTACAGTAAAAACAACAGGCAGTATTTGTTGCTAGTGATACTATCTGAGCTTTCTTAATTTTATTTAAAATTTTATTACTGACTGATTTGTGAGAGAACGATATTTGTTGTTCCACTTATTTATGCATTCATTGGTTGATTCTTTTATGTGCCCTGACTGGGGATTGAACCCACAATCTTGGTGTATAGGGATGATGCTCTAACCAAGTGAACCACTCGACCAGGGCCTATCTAAGCTTTCAAGAGAAAATTATAAAATTTGAAAACTTTATTTGCTGCCATGACTATAACAGCTTTCCAATATGTAAAGACTTTTTTGGATGAGATTGGTGGTGAACTTAATGATTGTGATTTTTAAATATGAAGTAAGGAAATATATCAATATTTGAAAAATTTGCATAACTCATTGATATTTTCTAAATAATCAACATCTATTATAAATTCGTGAGTGATTGTAAAAGATGTATTTAATGTGTAAGATAGACCAACAGGTTTTAATGCAAGAGTACACAAGTTTCATTCCTATTGTTTTAGATTCAACATTACAACTTATCATTAAGAATTACTATTTGTCAGAGAGAAACTAAGATGGCGGCATAGATAAACACCGGGAAATTGCCGCCTCCCACAACAATTGAAAAATACCGGAAAGGACAGAGCAGACATCATCCAGAACAACAGGAAGGCTGGCTGAGTGTAAATTCTACAACTAGAAGGAAAGAAAAGCACACTGAGAGCTAGAGGAGCTGCGGAGGTGAAGTGCAGAGGTACAGCGGCTCACGCGTGCGCGGAAAGGGGGTGGCACCTGAGGACGCGGCTGTTTTTTTGAATCACAAGCTCCCGACTGCTCTGAACTCCGGTTCCTGGAAGTCTCTGGGGACCCAGGACTCATACGGGGAGAAGCTGGACTGTCGGGCAGCGGGCGAACTTGAGTGCGGCTTTCCCTCAGAGGTGCTTGCAGCAATTATCGGGTCACTGAGATGCGCGACTCCTTAGGAGAATCAGCCATAGCTGCTTGCTCCGCCCTTTGATTCCCTGAGACCCTGCCCCACCCAGGCTGCGGCAGAGGCTTTTGCATGTGAATGTACCTAACTGCAGCCGAACCAGGCAGACCCGGAACTTCCAAGAGAAGGCCCAAGGCCCCGCAGCGGCTTGCATTGCTTCACAGCTGAGCCTCTTCGTGGCTCCTGCTGTGTGGCCTCAGGCAGAGGCTGAATTAGCACCTCCTTAGATCCAGGAGCCACTGTACCCAGTGGTCAGAGGGGGACCATCCAGATTGCAACTCCTCAGATCCATAAGGGACACACTCAGGGAGCAGACTCAGTGAGCACCAAAGACCCACTGAAGCAAGTCTTGCCCCAGAAGGGTGTCTTCAGCACAGAAGTTCTCCCACTTCAGACACAGCTGATTCTCACAGCCAATTGGCCTGGAGGTCAATTCCTCCCAGTGATCCTACAACAACCAAGGCACCAAGAGTGCACCAAGAGTGTACACCTCAGGTAACTGGGGAGGCTGAGCTACTGGGCCCTACAGGACACCTGGCACGCAGGGCCACTCTATCAACACAGGGAAGCAGCCAAAATGTGGAGACAAAGAAACAGGTCACAAATGGCAGAAATGGAGGAAAGCAAACGACTGGATATAAAGTTCAAGGCCACGTTTATAAGGTTTTTCAAGAATTTTATGGAAACCGCCGATAAATTTAATGAATCCCTCAATAAGTATAGTGAGACCATGGAGGACATGAAAAAGGACCAACTAGAAATTAAGCATACACTGACTGAAATAAAGAATAATTTACAGAGATCCAACAGCAGACAAGAGGATCCCAAGAATCAAGTCAAAGATTTGAAATACAAAGAAACAAAAAATACCCAACCGAAAAAGAAAAAAGAAAAGAGATTCCAAAAATATGAAGATAGTGTAAGGAACCTCTGGGACAACTTCAAGCGTACCAACATCAGAATTATAGGGGTACCAGAAGGAGAGAGAGGGCAAGATATTGAAAATCTTTTTGAAGAAATAATGACAGAAAACTTCCCCTACCTGGTGAAAGAAATGGACTTACAAGTCCAAGAAGCGCAGAGAACCCCAAACAAAAGGAATCCAAAGAGGACCACACCAAGACACATCATAATTAAAATGCCAAGAGCAAAAGATAAAGAGAGAATCTTAAAAGCAGCAAGAGAAAGATAGTCAGTTACCTACAAGGGAATACCCATACAACTGTCAGCTGATTTCCCAACAGAAACTTTGCAGGCCAGAAGGGAGTGGCCAGAAATATTCAAAGTGATGAATAGCAAGAACCTGCAACCAAGATTACTTTATCCAGCAAAGCTATCATTCAGAATTGAAGGTCAGATAAAGAGCTTCACAGATAAGAAAAAGCTAAAGGAGTTCATCACCACCAAACCAGCATTATATGAAATGCTGAAATGTATTCTTTAAGAAGAGGAAGAAGAAAAAGGAACTCTTACCATTTGCCACAGCATGGATGGAACTGGAGAGCGGATAAATACCGCAGGATCTCACTCATTTGTGGAATATAATGAACAACATAAACTGATGAACAAGGGCTGATCCAGAGACGGAGAGGCATTGATTGGACTGTCGGGAATTGGAGGGAAGGTAGGGAAGGGTAGGGATAAGGGGGAAAGATCAACCAAAGGACTTATATGCAAGCATATAGGCCTAACCAATGGACACGGACAACGGGGGGGTGAGGGCATGAGCGGGGGGGGGGGGGGGGGGGAGTAGAGGGTAACGTGGGGACAAGGACACATATGTAATATCTTAATCAATAAAAAAATATATTAAAAAAAAAGAATTACTATTTGTCAATTTTTTGTGTGGTATCTAAAAAGAATATATAAGAGAGTATTAAAATACTTCATTTCCCAATTACATATATGTTTGAGGCCAAATGATTTGATATATATCAAAGCAACAAAAAAAGGCAGCAGATATGAAAGTAAGCTGACATTTATTAAGTCAGATAGTAGAGATTTGGAAAAATGAAAAATGTCCCATTTCACAAAAAATTGTTATTGAGGTGACAAGTCATTGCATTTATTATTGTTTCAAATGGAATTAATAAGGAAGATTTCCTAAGCGTAGAGTTTAGGCACTATACTAATCTATTAACATAACAGCGCTGTAAAGCAGGTATTTTTTTTCATTTATCAACGAGGAAATAAAGGTCTAGAGAGGTGAAATATACTTCCAGGCTCACCCAAACAGCCCACATCACACAATCCCACATCAAAGGTGGGATTTGAATTTCAGGCCTCCCTAAGAAAATGTGTTAGATGTACTATTTCACCTCCAGCTTTAAACTGTGCTAGTCTCTTCCCTATTCTCTTTTTTGGGGGGGGCAGAGGTGGGGCGGGGGGTGGGGGCTGGGGCTGAAACGGATAGAAATGCATGGATGTGTAATTAGCTTTTAAATTCATCCAGTCAGAAAACATGTTACTTTGACTTTATGGGCCATGAATTACAAGTACGAGAGGGTAAACACCAAATGTGATTTTGTTTAGTAAAGAAACCCCATTTTACTAAACATTCTCATTGCTTAACTATTTCCACAGGAACAGTTAAATGCAACCAAGCCCTGCAATCCTGCATTACATGTAATATTCACGGAAGGGTAGAGCTGAGGTTAATTAAGTTCGTGTGGGGTTCCACAAACTAGACTCTCGATATCCACAATTTCCACCCTACCCCTAAATCAGTGTGATCCACATGATATGTAAGAGGACATAAGTTGCATAATATATTTTAAATCATAATTTAACACTTAAAACGACTATAAAAAAATTAAAAGGTGAGAATCTGATTAAGTGGGATGAAATTGTGTTCTGAAATTTAAGCCAGTTCCTTGAGAGTTGAACCACAAAGGCAGGGCTCAAAGGGTGAAAGAAGCCTTGAAGGTTTGTAGGGGGAAATTGGTAAGTGGGTCTCCTCAGAGCGTTGTGAAGTCACCAGGCCAAGGTAATGCTTGCCAGAGGTGTAACAGCCCTGGGGGTAGGGGGTGGGGGTGGCCGGGGGTGGGGGTGGGGGTGAGGGTGGGGGTGGGGTGGAGATCGAAATGAGTACTTTGCAGTTGGCCCTTGGGTACTGGGTTGGCTAACTACCTGGTATTGCAATAAAATATTTGCCCTCTAATCATATCCCCCCAAAACCACACCCTGTTTGACGTGTTATAAAGCATCCCTTCCAGTCGACTCGACTTTTTTGTTTTGATTTCGTCATTATTGTCCAAGATATGTGATAAGGAGCAATAATCTAGTTTTCAAGGCTTAATCGAGTTCGAAAGGAGTCCATACCTCAGAGGAACCTTGGATAGAAAAGGAAAAAAAAAAAAAAAAAAAAATCTCCAGAGGCCACATTCGTTATTTGTAAACTCATTCATTTTTTCCCAAACAGTGCCACCTACTGTCCATTGTTGGCGAGGACGGTTGTTGGCGAGGACGAAAGAGAAATAAAGGGGGTAAAAAAGTAACCGAGAAAACGAACCCTTTTCAGCCTCGGGACAATGGGAGAGAGATGAGAAAAGACCACCTTGAAGCAAATAAATAAGTATTTTGACTCGTCCTCTTAAAAGGCTCGCAAGAAGCAAAAGCCACTTAAGCCATTCATTACCTTAGAAATGCTTTTTTAAGGGCGCTATTTTCGAGTCCTCCGAAGGGCTATTTTATTTTTATTACATTTTATTTATAATGCATGCTGTTAGCATATTTTTTACGTTAGGGGAGCAGGTTAAGAAAAAAAAACAAACACCACACAATTATGTTTCCGCTTTTCCCGCCCACCCAAGGCGGAAACGACTGTGAAAGGGGGATTTGGACACATCGGCTCAGAAACTTCTGAGTTGGAGGGAAGAAAGGGTTAGCAAGTAGTGAATGGACCAGTCGCCGACTTTTCAGAGACTCCCGGGGGCGCGCGCGCGCGCACACAGAGACACACACACACACACACACACACACACACACACACACACACACACCCCTCCAGCTCGCTCTCCCCAGAGCGGTTCCTTAGCCTAAGGGTACCACTTGGCCTTAAAGCAAATTACTTAAACACTATGCAGAGTTGATCGCAAAGAGGGAATCCTTGTAACCAGGACAGGAATCAGGGATGTCTACAAAGCGTGGCCTCCAGCTCCACCGCTGGAGAACCGAGGGACTCAGGTGGTGGCCAGCATGAGTGCCCTGCATCTCTCTGCACACGTTAGCAATCAAGTTAATTGAATTCATTGGAGTTTAAAACCGGCCTCCAGCTCAGAAAGGGCTTTGAATGGCCAATTTTACTTTGCCTCTCCCCGCCTCCCGCCGGCCCGCCCGCCCCTCCGGGTTCCCCAGTCCGCACCTCCCTTCTCCACTCCCCTCACCCCCCACTCCCTCCTCCGCCCTATTAAAACACCCACCAGCTCCCTAGTTAAGACCCCCTTAAGTTGGAGGAGGCAGAAAGGCAACAGCAGCGAGGAAGGAGAAGTTAAGACGTCTGGAAAGAATTACCCAGTCCTGGCTTCCAGCAGCCCATTGAACCAGGGACTTGAACCAGTCCCAGCCAAAGACTTTCTCCTGATTCTGCGCTTCCTGGGTTCTGCTGA